GCCGTTATGGGCCCGCGTTTCGGCGGAAGTTTCTGGAATACGAATGGTTACAAAATAACATACACACGAGGGTGCGGGCGGCTTACCGAGACGGTATAACGTAAGCAATTAATTAATAACAAAGGCGTCCGTTTTAATATCTAAATGAGCCTTTCGCCACAGTACTGTGGTGTCGTAAAAAACATTACAAAGTCAAATTTCAACCCTTTTACGGCGTTAAGAAACGCGGCGGCGTCAACACGGCCGCCTGTTACACCGACGCGTTATTTAACTTGTACGCTTAGGTCCGTCCGGGGAAGTACCACGACCTCACAGAAGACCGGCGTGTAGTGGTTCGTGCAGAGGTAGCCGGGGTCCACTTTATTAAAAGGTGCAACGCTACAGGTGTTGTAAATGTCACTTATTTGCTCTAAGCGTTTAGTTATTGTCTCAGGGGGGAGGGGGGGGGGGGGGGTTTGTAAAGATTAAATTATAAGTTGAAATAGTGCTAAAATAAAACACAGTACAGAAATGTTCCCTATGAGATTGATTCTGAGCCTTGAAGATTGAGCCTTGTAGTTATCACTAATACACGTGCACACTATAAATAAATTCAACGTAGAGATCTTAGGGAAGGCGAAAATCTCTCAACGAATACATACGTACTACAAAACATGTCTATACGTATGAATTTATATTTGAGTATACTCACTATGCCATTCATTATTTTTCGCTTTTTCAAAGCGAGACCGGTTACGGTGCGGTGTGAGCGACGGCAAATTAATCAGATACGCCTCGTCGATTAGCATACGAAGGGTTAAGCTCGCTTTACGGCGCCGTAAAGTTTACGGCTGGTAGATGTCGTAAGTGGCCATCTGTCATTGAATACAGCGACCTGGCGTTCAGCTTTTGCCGTCCGATATCAAGACATCTCTTTCTCTCTCTTTTTAAACTTATTCCTACCTTTTCAGATCTTATGGCCGGTTTCAACATTCACGTTAAGTTTCTAAAACACTGATCATCGTAGAAGTTAACTAATCAGCTGTCAAATTAGTCATGGGTGGGTTATTAGGCAACAGTCTTCGTTGTTGTACCTCACAGAAGACCGACGTGAATTGGAAATGTTTGTTTGTTTGATTGGAATGTTATACTGCGTTTTATTCTGGTGAGTGAAGTAACAGGGGCCCATCTTATCAAAAGGTGGCAACGCATCTGCAACCGTACGTGTGGGCAAATGTCCATGGGCGGCGGTTATCACTTAACATCACTTGGACCGCCATCTCGCTTGTCACCTCTCACAAGAAATAAACTATTTTAAACGTTCGCATGATCTGAACGCCTGCTCGCTAGACAACTTTACACATAAAAGAGATGGTACATATTTGAACGATTACCTGCATAATGTTTTACTAAACGCACCTGTTAAATTCATCTCTCTCAGAAATATTAATAACTTCAAGAAAATTATAACACTCATATTTGTTTACAGTAAACGCCTCAAGCACACTATCGTATCTACACGTAAATATCTAATAATATTTTGACGGAGCAACTCACGCGTGCATCAAGTACGGACCGCGGGTGTGCCCATTGAAAACAAGCACAGATTATAAATACCCGCGTCGAACAAATCCAAAGAAAAAAATTAATCGATTCCAAAAAGTATCGATTGCGGGATTTCCGCGTCGTTGGTTGCAGCCGGCCGGGTGTTCTGTGTGATTCCACGGACGTATCTTATTTCCGATTTTAAAAGCGTACGTCGCCTATCATCACGCCTGTGAACCGCTGGTGGTCACCGATAGAATATTATCACAAGGAGCGAAAACTAAAAGTCCGTTGGCACTTAAATTATTTCGTTTTCCGCTCAAAACGCTACCGTTTATCCGATAGCACGCGATTTCATAGCGTTCTAGCAATTAGCGCTGCTATATTTCCGTTGCTTCGCTAATTGCTAAACGCGAAACGACGTTATCGCACACGGATCGCCATTTTATTGGGCGCGTTTAGTTTTAACCTTTAGTAATTTGTTGGGCCAAACGTTATGACTCACGGACTCCGCAGCGTTTGGGAATTTGGGTCGACGCCATCCACATATCAGTTATGACAATGTGTTCTTTTGGGCTATTTTTAGTTTATTAATAGATAATTGCGTAAACTTTTTTGGGTTATTTCTATTTTTTATGATTTCATATACGAGGGAAAAACGTTATGTTTTAAGCAATTTAATTTTACATAAATTCTCTGGCGCGTAATAATTTTATGTCGAATGGAAAGAAGAAATCTAAATTTTTTTTTTGAAATAAACTGCCTTAACCCATGTTTGTTTAATTCTAATTTATTTCGCGTCTGAACCAAATTAAATAGTTGTAGTATCTTTTAATACAATACTTTAATTCGTAAAGATAGACAATATAAAATGACCTAAAACATTATTGACCTATTCGTACTTAAGACTAATTATTAAAATAGAAAGTTATCGTATTATTTATTCAATACTCTAGTACATCGGTCTTTACGCACTACCTCCCTCAGTCTCTACAGGTCCTCTCGCCATGTCCATTTCACGGCGAAAGTGAACATTAAAAAAAAAGAAAAAAGGACTACGGAAATAATGAAAAAGCATGATTTTTAATCTGTTAATGGCGTACGCAGCGATAATTTCGCGCCGTATTTCGCGCGCCAAAATTTTCGTCGATTGGCCGCTTCGCCGGCGGCCGGTGACCGGCGGCGGAATTGAGACTGCCTTTTTTGAAATCGATTAATGTCACCCGCGGATAGCGAGTCCATATGATTATTCGAGGATCGATGAGGGCAGTTACGCGGTTGATTGGTGTAAAGGCAATACGCATTATTGGCTCAGAAACGTAGACATGCTTCACGTTATTGTTTCTTTCAAAACATTGTTCATTCAAATTAATTAAGAAATAAATGGACAGTTATCAACTAACTAGTGATGATAATTTAAATATATTATGATAACCACAAACAATGTTAAACAAAATATGCTTGCACTATTTATACTTTATAGTATTATGTTTATAATATTACAGTTATCGGTAAATAATATTCGTATACTATTTACCAATAACTTTTTGGTACAAAATACTAAACTATATTTTTCATGTAGAGAATTACAATTTATGTTAAAGAGTTATCTACAAATTACGAGGAAGTAAAACATATTCGTTATTTTAAATTAAATCACATGCCTCTGGCTGTGGTATTATCATAATCCTAATAAAAATAATGGTTAACCTATATAGTATGGCTTTATCGTCAAATAAACTCATTGTATTTGTTTTAGTTGGATTTATGACACTGGTCATAAACTTCAATGGTGATGGTAATGAACTAGTGTAAAAATGGTCTCAGATCTTTTGGTCTTAAACGTCTGATGTCACGAACCACATCCTCATTTGATTTTCCCACCATGTCGCAGATTGTAAAAGATGTGTCCTATATTTATTTGTCCTCATTTCATTTTGGTATGTAACAATACGAAGAACACTCAGACATGATTCATTGCTTTATCTGTTGAGTAAGCCCACTCTTATAAGTTTAGCATCTGCAAACCCACAGATGGTTACTGTCATTGACTTCAAAAGATCGATAATCTTAATGATCAACTAACAGGATAAATCAAACACGGATACTCTACAGTTACTCTATATAAATAAAATGATAGAGGTCTGCCGTTGTGCGAGCATCAAAGAAAAAACTACTGGATAGATTTCAATTTTTTTTCTTTGCGCTTATGTAAAAAATATTATGATATATTCACTAAATACAAAGCTATTAAATTCTTAAAACGATCGTCGTCGCGGGTGTCAGCTAGTGTAAGTTAATCGGTAACTTAACTTGGGCCGTGCTCCATTCGCCTGCTGAAACGCACCCGAAGACGTTTAACGTTATTTATAATTCAGCGCCCTTAAGTGCGTTATTGTTCTTAGCCGTATTTAGGTATGTCCCGCGAGCATTAGAACAATATTAAGGGTTCCGCGCACCCCTCTATTATCCGTGCCGTGAATAAGTAATGGGAATTATGTACTCGGGAGATGCTGGGGAAGCATTTAAGGTTTCCTATAAATCGTATTAGGAGGGACTCTCAAGGTTTGTGTGAGAAAAATACGCTGGGGTGGGGCGGGCCTTTATCGCGGTATCGGCTTAAAGAATTTGTGGTGCTAATGAATTTTGAGGTATCGGAATATTTTCATAGTTTGCTTCACGGTGTGACAGGTCTGTCTTTTAAAGCGACAAGGTTATCGTCAGGCACATGTGGTAGGGCCACGTAGCCGCTTCTGCTGTTGAAAGAATCGACAGGCTTATAGCAGTCTTATCACTTAAAATAAATAATAAATAAATAAGTATTTCAGGACACATTTTTACACAACGCTTTCTAGTCCCAATCTAAGCAACGCTTGTACCTATAATGGGTCTGGTACCTATAATAGATGAAGATACTTAAACTTACTTCTCTTTTGTAAATAACTACGTATTATAAATGTTTAAACATGAAGATATATGAATACTGTAATGCTTAGCTTCGATTACTTAAAAGCAATATAAAAGTCCAGTTTCGATGTAGCTTTAGGGCTAGAGAGGTCTGACTTCTATGTCAATAGGCTCGTCACCAGACACATATAGTAAATGCAGATATATGAGTACTTTGATACTTAGATTATTTAATGGCAAAATCAAACTTTGTTCACAGTGTAAAACTCGGTTTATTAGCGTACTTAAGTGAAGGGTTTTCTTCATCACATATTTATATTAAAGAAGTCAGTTTGTTAGTTCGCATGCATCAATGGGTAAAAGATAGTGCCAGTTTTGGTAGGGGTAGCAAACATATTTAACCAGTGCGGGAGTTCAATTGATTACATAGTCCACAAGGTCAATTGGCACCTGAATAATAAGCCACATAGTTATATAATAAGCCGGCTAATAATATGGGGTTTAAGTAAAAATTTTCTGAACGATATTTCCCTCCACAGATCATCGTAAAATGAAGAGTTAATGCCACAATGGACTCCCCGGTATCCTCTCAAGATAATGACATAGAGGTGAATGTGGTCTCCGGCGCCAGTAGCCCGGACATCACATCTTCTCCCTCTAGAAAAGAGCAGAAGAGCCCCTTCTACGAGCTGAAGAAGGACAAGGAGGAGAAGGCGACGGGCAGCGCGCCGTACACCAGCTTCTCCATTAGTTCCATCCTGAACAGAACAGAGCCAAGGCGGGAGTCGAATGTTCTAGAAGCCGCCTTAGCGGCGAACCACTTCGGCTCCAATGATGCTATGTTATCTAGGTTAGTATTTTTCTAATATCAGTATATCCAGTTTCGGTATACAAACGTTTCAAAAATTAGTCAATAACGAAAATCGATTGCCTATTTCAGGCAAAGGAAATTAATTGATACATAATAAGTAATTGGAAAATATTACCTGAAAATATATCGACCGGCCACTCTATCACAAATGCTTTTTCTTATTTAATTCTAGATCTGAATGGAAGTATAATAATTTCTTTGAAATGCCAGCAAGGATAAAACTATTTGTTTGGTTGAAATTGTATCTTTACTTATACGCAATTATATTTCATACACTAACTTAGGATACAGCTAGGCTAAGTAAAACAGCGCAAAATGATACAAACGAATTCGCAGTGAAACATTAACCGTTGCTGTAATAGTCCCCGAGTCGTAAATAGTATCTCGTTCGCGGCAGTACATAAAGCCACTTCGGCTTTTATTTAGTCTGTGGCGCGATATCAAACTTGTTAGTTTCGCACTCGACCATTCACGGGGGCCGATCGATCTGGCAGATTAAGGTGCGGGCGCACCGCGGCGGCTCTCAATCTGGGCAGGGCATAATAGGTGGTTTGCTTGCACAAGTGGCCATTCCTCCGAGTTACAAGAACCCCGCTAACTTCGATGCTTAGCAGTTTACGCGGTCTGCGGCCGGCTGGGCGTCGATGAGCAGCGGTTTCCTTTAAAGTACCCCGATTGCGGGCTGATTTCAATACTCGGGAGATACATTACGCTTACGCTACGTGAATGTTTAATTATTTGTTCATATAAAGTGCATATCATATAAATTTATCGGAATAAATATTTTACTTGAACACGTATATAAATATACAATGTGCAATCTCTATAATATCAATTTAACGAAAACAATATTGAACAAGTGTTACAAAAAATCAAATATGTAAGTAAGTACGTATATGATTTTTTGTATTAGTCAAAAATAATTAGTAATATTTTCTAGGCTTTGGAAAAAAATATAATATAAGTTATATATGAAAACTTATAAAGTAGCTAACCGAATTGTGTCATCTTTATATTTAATACAGTCAATATATATATGTTCGGTTATGGTGACTGTATTAAATGATTTTATCTAAAGTTTACTAGCATTAATATTACACAGTTTTAAACAAAAATCTATTTGTTTAATTAATCTTTTTTCAATTAATTGAAAAAAGCTTGCTTATGTTTTTTATAAATTGTGGTAAAAAAATCGTTAAGTAATTTCGTAGCATCATACGACGTAAGTGTATATATTTTAAGTAAATATATGTAACTTCGTATGTACAGAAATGTCTCTAACGGAAAATTCTATAGCTTATTAATAATTCAATAGATCTTACGATGCATGTCGCAGTGCAAAGAAAGTAATGACAACCCAAGATTGAGGCGCATCGCGATAACGCCGTAGCGCCGTAGCGCGTAGCCATTAAGAAAATCGTAGCGTCATAGCGCGTTGAGTATGTGGAATGTGTAGCATCGATTTTATCGGAAGAGGTACATTAAATAAATCTGATTTTAATAGAAATTATGTGATCTTCAGTCATCATCAATATGAACCAATTATTCTCCAATAATCTCTTTACGCAATATTAATAAGTATTTTAAAGTGTTCAAATATTCTATTCAAAATAAATTTAAACATGTTGACGGTGCCGTTGCTCAGCTGTACTTCATGGGTTGTTGGTTCAATCCTCGTATGGTGAAATTATATCTTTCTTTATTTCTATAAAACTATTATAATAATATCTTTCTTTCTTTCTTTCTATAAACCTCCTCTACAATAGTGTTAAGTATTGTGTTAAAATTATAATGTTAATAAATTATAATAAATATTTCTGAAAGTATTTGACACTACGTTATCTACTCCCTAACTGAGCAAGATTTATTCTATGAATACTAGGTATTTGATGAATATACTAAAAATTTGTTTTCTTGTGTAAATTCAGTAGGTCATACATAAATAAATAGACATGTTAGAAATATAAATTAGAAACTAGAAAAAAACTATCTCACACAATATTTTTCCAGTAGTAAGGATCGAACCAATCAACCTAAAACCTGTGGCACAAACGGTGTATCTGTTGTCCATTACGCGAAAATAAAAACGACAACCATGACTTTCGGAAGTATAACAAAAGAAGAAAATACCATCTCCCACTGCACCATTGAACCACATCTCAATCCCATGAAGCGCGCCCCTTAAACAAACTGAGTAAAACAAAAGCCCAACAAACATCGGGCGGGACGTTTAATCCCTAAAAGGAAACATCATTACCCGGCCTAATCAAGTGAGGACTACAAGCATTTCCCCCTTTACGGCCCGGCGAACGCGCGGCCCTTTTATCTGGCAACATCGCGTAAAACCCGTGGAGGCGAGTAAATGGCTCCCGACAAATCGGGGAACGGCCCGCCCGTCTTGTCCGACACGCCGGACATCTTGACGTTTCATTTGTTATCATTATACCCGCAAATGCGTATGCTCCGTTTCCTTGGGCCTCTCGCAAAGTCGTCCCGCGATTTGGTCGCGTTTCTTTCGTGTTCTCAGGCGGATGGAGTTTGTGTGAGTACTTTTTAATATCTTACCCAAAAGAGGATGATGGGAGATTAGTTTTATTTTGTGCTGTTGATTCCGTGGCTTAATGAGCCGTGAAAGGATAAGAAACAAAGATCAAGTACGTTTAAGTAAGATAGTTAAAACAGTTTAAGGTCGTAGCTTACTTTTCGTACTTTCCCCTCTTTTTGATTTAAAAGCTAGGCTCTTGTCGGTGCAGAATTTCTGTGGTTTAGTTGTGCAACATACTCCAAATCAAAATCAAAAAAATATCTTTATTCAAATAGACGCTTGCGTGTTCTTATGAATCGTCAAATTTTATATAAAAAATTAGCCTCCATCTTTCTCTGTTAAAAACTCTTTCATTTACCTCTCTTTAGGACTTAACATTTGTCTCCTTCTTTATTTGTGATATTTTTTATAGCTCATCCTAGGCCTCCCTCTACCCAGCGTTCCTTCCATGATGTTGTTAGTGTATCTATCATTCATCTTTCTTCTGAGGTTTTCTAATAAATTCTTCAGACTTCTCTTGTCGTTTATTGCAAGTCAATATATTTTCCATAACGAGTATTATATGTAGTGGTAATAATAGTCATTGTTTTGTTTATATATTGTATAACACATTTTCACAGGTCACAAAGTCTGCCAATAATGGCAGCGCTTATAAAAAAAAAAATTTCTCTCATCCCTCGCAAATATCTTCGCAAAACGCGAAACAACGACCGTTTAAAGTCTTTATCATCCACCCTTAGTTAATTACGCGAACAGTGACGGGCGACATTGCGAGCTATGTAAACGATCTGTCAACGGGCCGCCATCTTGTAGACACGGACATCTTGTCTTTTATAAATTTTCCCTCCATTTTTTAATTTGTTACAACGGCCCCACGTTGACGTTCCACCGGCTAATTAGGTAATCTTAGAAATGAAAATGCAAGGTTATCTCTCCGGAGTCTGTAATTCGATGTTTAAAAAAATTAGGGGAACGGAGCGCGGGCGTTTTCTTTTTCCTTTTCTCGATTAATTAGCGACGATTAAAACGGACCCTTAACTGGAGATTTGGCTACAACGAATTCGTATTGTTATGTTTTTTTTAAGTAACCCGTAATCGAAGATGTAAGTAAAGAGAAAAGTAAAGTAACAACCTATATAAGTTTCACTGTTAGGACCTGGGTCCTAGAGACAGAGGACTGTACTGACAACACTGAAATTATGCACCTTTCTTCAAGATGTTTTCCTTTAACTTCGAGCATGTGATTTATTAATTTATTTATAGGATTACCAACATAAGATAGAGCTTTTGTAGTGTTGCTAAGAATGTTAGGTAACTGATCTTACAATTAGAGGTAGTCACATCATGCTTTTTGAAAAGATAATAAGGATAACAAAAACCTTAAACAACTATACTAATAACATTAAAAAAATATTAAAGCAAATTAAAATAGCATGAGATCTGATAATGTTTAGCGGTTATAGGAAATCGGTGGAACACAAGTTTTAATGGCGTGTTTATATATTTTAGTCTAAACTGTTTGTCGATATTTCATTTCGACATCTTAGTGTTGATACGAGGTCGATGTATAGTGCCGTGTTTTCTATATGAAATCGAACGCTGTTAACTAACTATAACAAGCACTCTTCAATACTCAAGAAAGTATTTCAAGTTTAATCCGGGCACAACTTAAAACGTTATTTAAGTACACTTTTAAAGATTTAACCATTCTGTTGGTAAACATTATTTTCATTCAGTCGATGTATATTAATTCTAAAGAGCTGTAAGTTTCACCCCAAATCTTAGCGGCGAGTCTTTAGGGCGTTGCAACGGAGCTAGTTTACCCCCTCGTAAATATAAATAATTTAAGTGGCGCAATTGAAGAGAGGTAGCGAGTGGTTGAGAATGTTTTAAATGTGTATATAAGACATTTACCCAACGTGAATGACTTCACACTGATAGCATTCTCAGTTTTGTTTGATAACAAGTCCCTTTTTAATACGTCGAATAATAGGGGCACATGGTGGAGTTGGGCCTGGATGTAGATATTATATTTTTATTCTTTTGTTATCGCGACGACAGAAATACATCATCTGTGAAAATTTCAACTGTGTTAACTATTACGACAGACAGACAGACAGACAAACAGACAGACGACAGGGTCTTAGTAATAGGGTCCCGTTTTACCCTTTGGATACAGACTGGTAAAAATGGCTCGTCATACCGATAACCTTAAAAGATCTTAACTACTTCCAAAATACAATTTTTAGGAAATAATTTTGGTGAAAATTATATAGGGAAGGAAAGCCTAACAGTGTATCTGTCAAAAGTTATAAGTTACAATTTGCATTCCCACCCTTTTCGTAGACGATTTATTTGTATGGCTCTAGCTCTTATAGCGTATGTACCTACTGAAAATGTACTTAATCCAAGAAATATGTTACCCGCGTCACTT